ACACCGGCACTGGTGGCCTCCGGCCCCTGCGGCAGATGCTGGCACGCTCCACCTTGCCCCAGAAGCAGACAAAGGAGGAGATGCAGCAGCCTGTTCCTTGGCTGAGGCCTCTCGACACCAGGTGAGACCAGCAGCCGTGATCAGCAGGAGGCACTGCCTCCATGCAGCACCTGAGCTGTCATCCCACTGACATCCCCTCCATCCCCTCCTGTGCTCTTGTTCTCTCCATGCAGGTGGTCTCCGAGCACAGAGGGGAAGCACGGCCCTGCTCCAGCTGCAGAGATGTCCCCCAGGATGACCCAGGTACATCCCTGAGTCCAGAACCATCCCAGCCAGGCCAGGCCTGGCCCGGCCATCCTGGTGAGTGGTCCCCATCAGCACTGCGCACCCCTCCTTTGGGAAAGCCCTCAGGGACACAGGGCAGCCCCATCACCCGCCCAGCCCCTCGCCTACAGCTCCGCTTCCCTACAGGCATCCCACGCACCACAACCCCACGGCCACGGCCCTCCCTCTTCAGACGGGCGCTCAGGGCCCTGCGCAGGGCGTTCAGCTGCAGCTGCACGGCGCCACGGGTGAGCAGCGGTGAGAAAGTGGCCGAGATTAGGCCTGCAGTAAGAGGTCTGGTTCTAGGTCTTTGGTGCTGAGGAGTTGCGCTCTTTCTCCAAGGGAACAAAGTCCTGGCTGTGAAATGAAGCTGTTGGCTACTGATGGCTTATGCCAGTTGGGCCATGTCGGGTCCACAGTGTGAGCCAGGGTTCAGAGTGGCGTGCCTGGATAGCTTATATATACAGAATTCAGCCTGATTCTGTATAAATAACATTGCTAAATGAGCTGGAGGCTTGGTGCCAAGTGTTACATGGACATAGATGTACATGAACGTGTGCTGGTGTACGTAGAGATATTTGTCTGTGTCTATACATGTGTGTGTCTGCAGATCCACAACTTCTTAGAGGTGTCTTCATGAGAATGTTTCTAACTGCAAGCTTCTGTGTTTTAAGATTTTGGCCAATTTGGGAAGTTTATCTGCAGAGTCAGTTGATAGTAAAAAATTAGGCTTTCCCTGCTCCAGTCCCCGTGGTTGGTTTGCCACACGCTATGGTTATTTCCTGAAGAAAACAGTCGTGAGTGCCTCACTCGGATGATCCTGTGAGCCTGACAGCGAAGTTTCACTTTCTAGGTAAGACTGGGTGTAAGTCCCTGTACGCTGGAAGGCGGAGGGCCTGTCCTTGGGGTTGACCATGTGCAGATCAGATAACGACCGGCCTCGACAGCGCTGCACTGTTGCTTACCCCGGTCTTCCCGCTGTAGTGGTTCACGAGGAAACGCGCAGTTGCCGGTCCCCAGTAAACACGCAGCGCAACGAGCAGGGTTTCGGCTCTGCACGTCCCGCTTGCAGGAGGCGGTGGTGGCGCTGGGACGCGGAGCTTTCCGTGTCCCTTATCAGCCTGGCGCCGTGTGTGTCCCCGCTCCTTATCAGCCCTGGCAGTGCTGGCTCCTGCAGCGCTCGGCCTCCGCACGTTGGTGCTGGTCTGTGAGCGAGGCGGGACGGGCTGCGATAGGCACGGCGGTGCATGGCCATGCTGGACCTCGTCGCGCTGAGCCTCCATTTCCTCCTCTGTTTCCTCGTCGCCCTCGCGATTTGGCGTGGACCCAAGGTATGGTCGTGGCTCCGCACCCCCCTGCCACAGGGACCCCCTGCCCGCTGTTTCCCGTTGCTCTGCGCACGTACAAAGGCCTTTTTGAGCCTGGTTTTTCAGGGGAAGCGAAGGTGGTGTGGTTGTGCCGGGAACTGGGGAGGACCTGGAATGTGGTAGGTAATTGTAAGCAGATTTACTAGAAAGGCAGGTTTGGTGATGAAACGACTTACGTCCACTGCTGGAGAGCCTATCAGACATCTGAAATGGGTAAGAGAAGGAAGGGAAAGGCAGATGCATTTCCTAAAAAGCCCAGGTTGAATGCAGCTTCTCAGCAAACAATTTTTTTCCGTTTTGCAGATGGTATTTTCAGTTTTTTATCAACGTCTATCTGCTTGCATTTCCAGCAATAGTATTATTTGGACGTTATTGGATCTACCTGTACATGCTCCTGTTTAGCCGTTGCACACCTACTGATGCAGTCTGCTGCACGCAGCACAGCACCCCTTTCTCTGAACGCGCCTTCCGTGGCCGTTAAAGTGCAGAGGAAATGAATAGTGATTGAGAGTTTATCTCGCCCCGGCTGCAGGCATCAGGTTTGCCACAGCTGGATTTCCTGCTCCCAGCCGTGTCGGCGAACACGTTGGCCGCGCGTTATCGCCGAGCTCCTGCGCTTCGCTTCCTGCGCGTGCCGATCGTCCTCCACTGAAACTTCACGTGTTACATGGGCCGGGGCTTTCTCCGGGCCCAAAAAACCTGCTCTACCCGTGCAGAAATTCAGACGAGAACTGTTCTGTAAGATGGCTTTTTGATTTTTTGTGTATTTTAAGGATGGGGATTTGTGCAGCTCAAGCGCAGGACCGGCTGAGAAGGAGCCAGATGGTCTTATATTTATTGGCAAAGAGGATGACATAAAGGCGTCCCGAAGAGCAACGGCCAAAGTCAGTGGCAGAGAAGCTGTCGTTTTCTACCACGAAGGGAAATTTCACGCTATGGACTCTCGCTGCTACCGTAAGATGTTTGTGTGTGCGGTCTCAACGTCGCAAGAATTGACCCTAAAACCTGCTGCATAAATTAATACCTGATTCTGCCTTGTTTCAGATGAAGGAGGCCCTCTGCATCTTGGAGAAATAGAGGTACGCAAGCAAAATAAAGATTATGTGGGGGCACAGACTCATGTGAAGTCCCTAATGCGTGGTTTTGAACACTTTTATCTGAACGTAACCTCAAAAGAAATGGGTTTACATGTAAAACAGCAGGCAGCCATACAGCCGAATGCCTTTTGTCCCGGAGATTTTTCCAGGAGAAGAGTCAAAAGCCGGTGACTTATTATTTTGGTCTTCTTCCTCCTACAGGATATCGATGGTCAAGCGTGCGTTACTTGTCCCTGGCATAAGTTTAAAATTGTTTTGGAAACAGGGGAAGGACTGTATGAAGGAATAAACCCCTTGGAGCCATCACCAGCACCGCGGTGGCAATCAAAAGGAGTCAAACAAAGGATCCACAAGGTCACAATAGACAATGGAAACGTGTATGTGAGCCCTCCCGATTTGTCTGTCAGCTTCGACTCTGATTATTTTGCTGACAAGTACAAAAATAACGGGGATTTAGCCACGGGAAAACAAAGCGGCCCACGAGCAGCGCAGAAAGTTGTGGCCAGCGAGCAGGATCCTGGGGAATGCCTCGACGAAGAGCAATTGTCGTGAGATACCAGCGTGCCGTGGCCATCAAGATCGTCTCCAGATTGGATTGCAGTGTTAACCTCATGTCAAAGCATTGAAACGTGTAGAAATAAGTGAGATAAGCAGCTCCGCATTGTCATAGACGTGACTGATCTTATGCCAATGATTTCTGGGGTGTTTTGCACTTAGGTTTCAGAAGGAGTTATTTACAGCAGAGTGCTTCGTAACACTTGGTATTTTAGAGCTCCTGTTTTGCTAGAATTGTTTTAATTTTTATGAGGGGATGTAGTATATGTCTGATTATAAAACCTGTTACATAGTTCAAGGTAAATAGTCGGGTGTAAAGGTTATGTTTGCTTAACAGTTTTTAACTACAGTGCCTTTGGTATAAATGATGTGGAAATGTAACTTTTTAGACACGTGAACCATCTCTGATGTTTATTAAGCGCCACAAGGAGAAGTAAGAAACTGGTGCGTGTGGTAGCGGGCTTCTGGATGCCTATTTGTGTGTTTCCACCGTGAAGCACGTGTGTGCACATCTGTACTTTGTAATACGTGTTTTCCTTCTGCTCGGTGAACAGCTCTGGCAGCTCATCAAATAACGTGCCCAGCTTTTGTCACCTGTGGCTTGTGCTCCCTGGTTCTGTTGGGTATAAAAACCTGGTACATAACGCGGTGGCTCTCTTTCAATTTATTGTCAGTACGGTTTTAAACCTCACTGTGGAAAAAGGTGTGCTCTCAGTTTAGAGCCAAAGTCTGGCTCTCCGATAAGTGGGGCAGTGTCAGTGCCATTGTTCACATGAACGTATTTAATGGTAGTGAGGAACAGGGAAGTATCAGAGGACACGGAGCACTGGTCTCGTCCTGTTGGAAGACATGGACCATGTACTGAAATGCATTGTAAGTTCCTCAGGTGTACCTGCACGGACTCGTGTGCTCGCTTAGACAGTATTTTTACTGCTCGCTCTTTCTCTGAAAGCACTGCACCGACAGAAATTGCCCATTTCAGTTGATAAAGCTGCAGTCCAGTTTAAGGAAGTACCGGTTATGAGCAATACGCCGTGGCCCGAATGGCATTTAGCAGGACACCAGTAATACGGAGTTTTGTGTGCTGTGTCGGGAACACGTCCATTTTAGTGGGAGAGAGCTCAGGCTTCTGCAGGATGCGTCTTCTGGCTGAACTCCAGCCAAGCGTGCACTCACATCTTTAATGTGCTAATCTTACAAAACCGGTGGAGCTGCATGCCCAGGCTTAGGTCAGCCCCTTCTCTTCAACATCTGCAAGCTTTTAAGGTGCTTTTGCTTTTACTTTAGACGTGTTTTTGTTCTCAGGGAGGCTGTGTCAATTCAATATCTACAGTTTGTCAGTTCATTTGCTTTCCCTGCAATTTCCCTGTTGGCGATCCCAGAGGGAACAGGGCATTATTAACTCAGGTGGCTGTGAACAAAGGAGGGAGAGTTGTGTTAGGTTTTCCTTCTTTCTTT